AGAGGGGCTAAATCATAGCCCCTCTCTAATGGGCATAAAATATAAAATAAAAAGTGTGCATGCCTTTTTTGGACTTTCGTGCCTTCAGGACAATATTCTTATCTTGACCTTTTTTTTGAAACAAGCTGAACGAGATATCTACACCTGCCACTCCCAGAACTTTACTATGTACTGAAATGTTTCAACTTGTGTACAGGGACTGCCAAGCACATTGTGTTGATGAATACAGGAGGAAAACCTTCTTGTGTTGTTCAGTGATACAACCGTAAAGGTTTCAGTGCACCGTGTTGGTGAGGAAACTACCAGTCAACACAAATGTCTGCTTTTCCGTGTCTGCCATGTCAGTGTACATCACAGCGAACTCCCTCCAATGTTCTTATCTAATGAACCAGAAAACAGACAGAACTTTTATCTGAAGGTACACTGACGGAGGAGATCAAATGTGCTTTTTCTTAATGTAATGGGGTTATCTTGACGTTATATATTGATAATAAAGAGGACAATGTACATTGGAGTTACGGTTAAGTTAGCTAGACTTACGTTACACAGTAACGCCTGTACGGTTCGCTAACGTTAGCTAGTTTGCGAAATAGGTTAACAGTGAAATAATTTACCCACTTTAATGTTAAGTAGTAGTACACTTGAGCTAGGTAACTTAGCCAAATATTCCTGGTTGGAGAAAGGAATTTGACGTCAACTAAGTTGTTAAATCATAATATATATGAAGGCACACGTTACTATGTTAAATAATATTGTATCGTTTCGCTAGTTACGTTACCTCGCACCGTTTGCTAACATGGATAATAGCAATGCTAGGTTAAACATACTCACGGTTGCGGCGTGAAATGGGTCAACTCAATCCGACAGCTGCTGCCAAGTTCGGTGATGCTGGAAAAATTAACAAAATGCTCCCTCATCGAAAACACAAGCAACTGCCACGTCGAAGTCAGTTGTCACCACGTTGTCGGCAAAAACAAGCAAAAAAAAACATCACCAATAGCAATGTGAATGCAGTCACGCAGAGATGCACCGACAGCACTGTAGGTAAGCTCGGGCTGCAGCAGCGGTTGCTTGTGTGTTTTTGAAGTCTAGTCGTCCGCTGGCTGCAACCCAAACGTCTTTGTTATTGGAGGCAGCGTTGTTAAGCAACCAGTAAGTGAGCCTTACATTGGATGTAACGAATGCAGTGTGCGATTATGCAAATGAGAAATGCTGTCAGGTGTCATAAAGCACTGCACCTCTGTGGCAGCAAGAGGTAAGTGTCACCTCCACAGTACTACTGCAGAGCCTCACCTCACCATATTATCTTTCTGTTCTTAATACAATATACACAGATGACATTATTTGCATTATAAACATAATATTTATGGTTATTGGTAAAGTAGACCATGTTAAAATACAACACTGTCCAAAAGTTTTAGGCACTACTGTGGGATACATTTTATTTTCTTCAGTGAAAGTAAAATGTTGAGACATAATAGAATAGGATATAGAATATGATCAGAACATCGGTCAGAATCAACTTAATTGGCAAATAAAGAAAATTTGGTCATTTGGTCAGAGGTGCAAAAAATAAATAGAAACAGCAAGTAAAACCATTGAAGTAATCCATATAGTTCATATGTCAGTATAGTATACAGAAAATATGCACAGAAAATATTAACAGTAGGCCTACAACACATACAGTACAACAGATGAAAAGCAACAAATTTCAGTACATTCAGGGTAAGTTTGATTTTAAAACCAGTAAACCTTCATTTAGATTTTTGAAGTATTGTACTCTACCGCTTGTGCACTTGTGTTATTATTGTGCAGTCAGGACAAAAGTCCTCTTAAGTTTGCATTGGAGGTTTTTTCTTCTTAAGGTAAAAATCTGAGAAATCTTTCTTGAAAGTATAAAGTTATCCACCACTGCACTGAAGAGGAAATGGTTGGTAATGCATATTAATACTGACATTGTTACCTTGAGGATAGCACATTGGCTCTTTTAAGGTGACCATAAAGCAGTCTTCAACAAAAGTTTTTGTATTTTACTTTACAGCTGTTTTCAGCAAGTCCAGTAAAACTTCTGCTTGAGTAAGATGCTAACTCTACTACTCTATACTTGGCATAGGCTCATGCTACATCTCCTCACATCATCCAAAGCAGCAGCATGGACAGAGGCAGCAGGACGCTGGCTCTTCATCCGTCTGGTATCTTCCAGACTCAGGCTGGTCCCTGCACTCTGCTATGAAGGCCTGCAGCTGGGACACTGGCACCTTGTCTTGTTGATGATGCTGGAAAAGAGCCAATGTACATTGGGCAATCACGTGTAACGATAAGTAACATCTCTGTACAGCAAGATATCAGTGCTATAAACTTTTGTGCAGGTGACTCAGACTGACCTTGATGGTCTCGTAGGTGTCAGTGATGAGAGCAATGAACAAGCTGAGCACCATGTAGATGAAGAGGGAGATGAAGGAGTAGAGGTAGATTCTGCTGAAGAGCCACACCATGTAGCTCTTGTCTCTCATGTTGAGGAAGGTGGCATACATGTCGTCGCCGTTGATGAGAGAGAAGAGACACTCTGTCACCCTGTCGAGTGTTCGGAACTGGAGAAAAAAATTGGTTTTGATAATTGAGTTTTTATATTTCAGTGATAGATGTGTTACCGGAATACACCGTCAATATACTTGGGAGAATTTATTAGGCTACACTGACACTTGAAATAGATTGTTCATACTTTGTCATGGTAAGGGCCAAGCACTATCCAACCACAGAAGCAGTACCCAAGGTAGATCATGGCCGCACAACAGCAGAATCGGATCACATTCGGCAACGCCGCTCTCAGGGTTAAGATTAAGATCTAGAGGGGAATAAAAGTTTTCACTTCCTCTGGATATGTATTTGCTGTTTTTAACAGGTTGACTGAAACAAAAGCAAAAAGTAGGGTCATGGAAGTTCTTACATTGTATTTCCTGAAGAAACCAAGGTAACGAATCACACCAACCCAGACAAGCATGGTGGCTGTTCCCAGCAAGATACTACAGACATCATAGTTTGTTAGGAACTGCAAAAAAAAAAAGAAAGGATGATGGAATAAACACAATATCAAGTAGGTACCAGGTAATTTTCATATATCAAACTATAAAATATAATGAAAAAATAACTTTTTCAAACATTATAAATTATGAGTGCTGAGTTCAGACCATTTAGCTTTTCAGGTTTCCCTTTATCTTCAGGTCAACATTCCTACAGTGAATAATATGTGAAAATATAGCCAGTTAGGCTCAATGAAAAGCAAACCTTTGTTTGAATTCCAATTTTAAGCCCTGACCCAGCGATGGTCAATGTGTCGCTGACGATGATGAGGATATACCAGCCATTCACAAACTCCATGCGGTCTGACCAAGTGACAATTTTATTGTAGTATGCATGGAAGAATATGTTGAACTCCTGCATTAGAGGAATAAACATATTGTAAAACATATCAATTAAACCAATACACTCAAACCAAGGATTCATTCTTGTAGACTTATACACTCATGAGCCATTTGAACTTTGTATCTGATCAGGAGGTGCTGGCCTTTTCAGGGCTGTAGTCAGTATTTCATACTGTGGTATATGAATCTCTCAAAAGTTTGACCACACAACAAAAAAGTCTCTCAAATAGATTAAATATACATTTTTTAACTGTTCATTCACATTTTCTGTGAATTTTCTCAATATGAAGCTCTAAATGCTGTTTTAAGGCCTTCTCCAGGACTACCGTGTTGGTAGGAAAATACAATCATCCTTATTTATTTCTCATTGGCTTGAAAGTAGACATATTTAGACAGACCAAAATCTAAAATACTGGACTTAGTTTATTCAAATACCCACTATATAAAGGGTTTTAATTATGGAATGTAAACATCCTCTCAAATTCCCAAAGTACAGACGATATGACCTCAGTGTAGTCTAATACAGCAACAACCCTGCATCTGATGCTGGTTTACATCGTATATTTTATGCTGAGTTATTAATGAAATCAGTCATTTATATAGAATGAATGACCTAGTGGCTTAATTTTCCTCAAATAGAAACTTACAAACTGGAGTTGGATGCCATTGATGACAGATCGAGTACAGAGGACGAGAGAGGTGAAACATGCGAGGATGACCACAGAGTCAAACCACAAGAGGAGATAATCATTCTTCCCAGCTACAAATGAGAACCACAGATTCTAGTTCAGTTGTAGCATTAACATCTTTGTTGTTGTGCAAATCACATGCTGAGTTGGGTCATACAGGTGTCAAGGTTACAGAATAATGTCACCGTGCCCCCTGCTGGCTTTTTGAGGCAATGGCAGATATGATTATTTGGTATGTTGGTGTGGGTGCACTTTACAGCATGAGTTCGTGTAATAACTTACAGGCGCCTTCCACGTTCCAGTCCCTGCATTCGTAAATTCTAACATCATTTTTAACATCAACTTTTATCTTTCCACTGTGTGCATGGTTGTCAAACATGATCTGTGTAAAAACAAAGGAGAGAAATTTGTTAGAGACACAGCACATGCTATTTCTGAGCAATGGGGAATAACAGTGACTTTATGAATTAACTGTATCCTAAAATCTCAAATTGGGGTGTGGCAGTTTCCAACACTGTCACCAACCATTATATGGAAGTCATAACAGTCTGGTAGCTCATGGTGCCGCACCGTCTGCAGATTGATGGTTTTCAGTGTTAGGTAGATGTTCACTGATAGCAGCCTAAACACACAAACATATATTAGCAGCAGGAAGCACGTTTACCACATGGCATGAAACCAGTATTTTCAGTTTAGTCACCTTTTGAAATCTAAAGAGAAGTTGAAGTGAGTGGCCAAACTGCGGTTGCCAAACAACTGCACAGGGTATATGGAAATACAATCTGTGAGAAGGAAACACAGGCAAAGTAGTCAGATTTCATTTGACAGTTCAGCATTAGCATTCTTTCCTCCGATTGCGCTGTGCTGTCGTTAACAATACAATCTTCCTCTTTTCATAAGTCACAAGTAAATCCACATTGTGATTATGTTCCACTTGCCATGAATCAGCTTCCATAAATACATCTTGCATTAAAAATAAAACATGAAACATTATGTTATCCATAACGCATGATAGCTACTGGACTTAAATACATAATTTCCACAGCTAGTTGTGACTCTCTTTGATGTTTAAATGAATATTTTTTGTGTTTATGTAGCAGTTCTGTGCTTTAGTACCTTTATCAATATGTGGATCAATGTCAAAGGTTCCGTTCCCAGGATCAATGCTGCTGTTTCTGTAAAACTCTTGACAGACAGACAAAGGAGTGTACTCGCCATCAGCCCTCTCATATGCAAGATTACCTACAGTCAGGTTCTGGAGATCGATGTACTGAAAAGCAATATGGGAAGAAACGTGAAGCACATTTTTTCATGGAATAAAATTACAATTTTGTCATGATATGCCCATGTGATACAATGTTAAATTCTTGTCAATAATCTGCATTTTCAGTACCCTGTTGATAATGTAGTCGATGTGATCATACACATCCGCTTTCGTGTAAAGTGCATAGCTTCCCAGCCGGTGATCTTTGTATCCTTTGAGAAAAAGATGTCTGAAAGTCATCAGATTTTCATCTTTGAAGGTGACCATCATTTCGTTGCTCAGGCCAAAAGACACTAACTAATTAGAAAGGGGGAAAATAATGTGCATATGAGACAAATATAAATCTACCATCTGTAACGCATTCATACTCACTGAAAAATAAGTTGTAATCAAAGGATTTTATACGCTACCTGGATTGTGATGATGGCAATTTTTACTATCTGTAACATCAGTTTCCAAGGTTTGCGACCCCTGGCTCTGTATTTCTCACAGGGGTTCATGAAGAAGTACTTGAGCCTTCGTCTGAAATCCTCCACCACCTTCGACTCCAGAGTGTGAGTGCTCCATCTGTAGTGGCAGTTTTGCCTCCTCTCCTCAGACCTCAACAGAGGTTGGGAGTCCTCCATTATACTGAAGTGCAGAATATAATGTTAACATGGTGTGTGACAGACAGTTTTGGTCGTGTTTGTCTGCATATTTTTTGTTAAAGGTTCCACACACATCAGAAATGTGTTGGAGATAGGGTAAAGGGTTAGCCATTCCAGTCATTGCGATGTGTATCAAACTGGTTCTCCTGCATGAGCTCACTGCTGTCATTCTCTCCGCTGTCTTTACAGTGTTATTCTGGAGTGCAAGCTAATGGCATTAAAAAATAAGCTACAACGCTCTAGGAAACCACAAAGGTATGCTTTTCACTGTCATTTAGCTCAGCCACAGCTTATTGTAGCAGACCCTACCAGCAACAGCGAGCAGAAACAAGACGGCAAATGAACAGACTTCAACCACACATGTAGCAAATTACTTACACTAGTAGCAAACATAAGTGAATAAAAATTAATGGTTCTTATATTGTGTACAAAGAGTAAAGGCTCCACACTTAAAGTAAAAGTTAAGATATAATAATAATAATAATAAAAATAATTACCTGCTATCACCTGCAGTGAGCCACAGAGGAACTAGTCTAACACACGCCTCACTACTGTCTGTGAAGACGGTGCAGTCACCGCACCAGCCTTCACCAGGATGACTGTCATTCCTCTGCGTCACTTAACGCTTTTCCAGTTTCTCCAAAACAAAAACAGAACTCCCAGTTACAGCATCTCTGCACACCCCAAAGCTGATAACATACTGTATGTGGGCTTCTGCAGTCTGTCAATAAATTCATTTTGAATTTCACTTCATTAATTAATGTTGTATTGCAAGAGCTATCAAGACTCTCAGATGCTATTTTGCAGATTTTACTAGAAAGCAAATGAGTCAAATAAAATTACATTACTTGTTCTCTAAACCACCAGACAGCCACCAACAAAGAAAAAAAAATACACAAGCTGAATTCATATAGAAAATCTTTAGTATGCAATAGATTGTACAAGAGTAATAAACCAAGTAAAAAGCAAGACATTGTTTGTATTTCACAATATTTTTTGTGATTCAAGACTTCTGTAGTGATAACAATGTAAAGCAACCTCTTCTTGACTTAATGCAGCATAGAAAGAAGCGGAAAGCACCATTTGAAGCTACAGGGGTCTGGTCAAAGGCAGCGTCTTTAAAGATCAGATTTTATGCACATTTATACTCAAGTAGCCATTCCAGTGTATATAACATAGTTTTTCATTACACCTACACTACAGCTGCCATGTCTTTTTTTTTAATCAGGAAGTCACACCTTTGATAAGAGGAGGAGAAAAGGTTAAAGAGGATGAGTCACATTTTCTTAGCTCATGACATACTGGGCTAGGAACTGAACCTCAGCACATTTTGGATACTGTACTGAAAGTGTCAAAAGAATAACTATCAAATACTGAAAGCTTGCATCAAATGCATGCACAGACTCATACTCTACTTGTTTTTATTAATGATTTTGCCACTTTAAACTGCCTTTCATTTAGACAGTTCTAGCACATTTACGTATGTTTAAACATTCGACATTTGACTTGACTAATAAAAACATGTAGGCCTAAACAGTACATATTCTCAAAACTAAGGTATTAATTTGGCCTCATATGAAAACTAAGGTAACAAATTAGCACAGGTATCAAAAACCTTTAAACATTAAACCAGCCCCGGGGATATAATGTCTCTATTTTCTCTCCAAAAAGCTGATTGGCATAGTGCTCACATGCAGTATATCGTGTATAGTATACAGTATATGTGCAGAAATTTCAAAATGCCTGATCAAAGGCAAGAGTAACACCAAAACGACATAGTGAGAGTGTTTGTATATGAGCTGAGTTGTTGAGTAGTTGAGGTCTGTGTTTTAACAGCATGAGAACTATCCTATTGAGATGTGAAGTTAAAAGATGTTCCTTGGTGACGCCGGGGTGAGTGAGCGCGACCGGAGGGGCTGGAAGTTTGGGTCCCCTCCGGTGCTGGTGCACCCTGGCGTTGTGGCATCTATGTTTGAGGGTGATTCGACCATCACCTCATCCGGCAGCGGAGGAGCTCCTGGGTCTCCGGGCCTCGGGAGGCTGGAGGAGGTTGTGGAGGAAACTACGGCGATGCTAGCACCAGACACAGAGGGCAAGTCTCCACCTTGCTGTAACGATGGCAGATTGAGTGAGGCCGCTATGTCTGAAGTAGACGGGCTTCGTTCGCCATCTGGGTGGAAGAGCAAGGTGGAGTTGTTTGAAAACGTTGTGGGGAGGTCACTGGTTGTGGTTGGAGTGCTGAGGTTGCTGTCAGATGAGGAACTCGAAGCCCCTACTGTGGAGTCACAGGTGAAAGGAGGAAAAGCAGGACAGAAGTTTAAATTAAAGCATCAAGAAAATAGAATATACTTAAAATTAACAACAGATTTCATTATGATTTGGCTTATTAACCTCTGAGAGACTCGATCTTCTCATTTTTGGCCTTTTGTACTTCGTCTGTGATCTTGGTGATGATAAAGTTTTGTGAGCGCATCTCCCTGATGGAGTCAATTAAGGCGTCCAGGCCCCGGGGGTTTTCGGCCAGGATATCCAACAGCATGGCTGTCCTCTTGGTCTGTGTGGTCCTGCAGCTGACTTCCTCCGCATCGTCTCGCGTCAGGATCCTGCGAGAGCGCAGGTAGTCGAGGTGGCGCTCGGCTCTGATCTTGTCACAGAGGTAGTGCCGCAGTCTGGTCAGCACCTGGAAATTCACAGCAGCCAAAGTGAGGGAGAACAAAGTGAGCTTTCAAGGCCCTCAACAGAAAGGGTTATTCTTTACATATGGACAGGGAACCAACCAAAGAGCAGGTGAGTCAATTGCATAACCTTGTCTGGTTCATCTTTCCATGTCACATAGTTGGCTATGATAGTTTCAGCCTCTGCTAATGATTTTTGATAATGCAGACTGACCAAACCCTGTCTGTAAGGTTACAAAAAAATGCACTCAACCTCCAGTTTATGTAGTCAAATCTTACAGAGGAATGGGTGTTGATGTGGGCACAGAGGGTGTGGCGGTTTATTTCCTCCTTTTAACAGGCCTTTTAACGCCAAAGGTACACATTAAGTGTCATAAGTGCAATTTCCACATACATTACCATTTTAAAATGTATTTAATTGGAGGCCATGTGTGGCTGAAGTGTCATACTCACGTCTTTTTTAATCTCTGCCATTTCATCTTCAGTGAGCTGAGGAACATCCATCACCTTTCACCCGCAAAGTGAAAATCCAGGTATTCCGGGCGACGAATGACGACTGAAATAAGTTAATAAGCTACTAACAATTAAATAAACTACGTCAATAAGTTACTGTAAGCGTTAACTGATTTGGCGCTTCATTATCTGTCGTTAAAAAGTGGAGAATCTACTGTCCATTCAAGTTTTGTGTTTCATGAACCGAAATCCCCGGACTTCCTGATTGTGTAGAGGTTTTACGTCGACAAGAGAAGAGAAGTAACAGAGAGCAGAGTCCCGGTTTCGCACTCACAGCTAACTTATGAAGGTATCAGCAAATAAAAAGTCAGAATTACTACATTCATGATACTTCCATAGCGATATTAGAAAAGGCTGCTGTTGCCCAACTTCCGTGAATCGTGTTGACCGATTTCAAGTGCTGAACAATGTTTCTGATACAGGTGAAGTGCTATTCCGATAAGCCCCACTGGATGACGCTGCTGGACCTCCTCTCTCTCCACACACACACACACACACACACACATAATACATAATACAGTCATAATACATTTAGAGATATGTTTTCCAGTTTGGTGGAAATTAACTAAGTACATTTACTACAGCACTGTACTATAGTTGGGTAGGCTATTTCTAATTTATGCTCCATTACATTTCAGAGGGAAATATTGTACTTTTCACTCCACCACATTTATCTGGCAACTGTGGTTATTTTTCAAATTAGGAATGTGCATTGTAAGGTTATAAAATAGCCTACCATACAAAATGCCATAGAAAAGTCTTTGTAGGGCTCCCTCATCATGTTTCAGATGTCTGTGAGTTGTTGTTCCACTAGAGAGACATCCCCTAAACTTCTCAGATGGTTTCATTTAAATCACAGTTTGAGGAGATAAGATAAGATAAGATAAGAGAAAAAAGAACACACATTTGTGTAGCAGAACTTCTTTATGGTACATTTTTGCTCTCCTACCCCATTGATCATCTCACAATTCTCCAGGTTTATCTTGTGACCTCTGACCTCTAGGTTGGGAACTAAACGACCTAACTGTAGGCTTATATAAAGTAGGTAGAACTAGCTGCTCCTGAATCAGCTACAACTGTGTGCTTTTTATTCATTGATTCAATATTATTAATCTAATGATGTAATATATGATAATTTATCAGTCACTGGGACCAAGCACTTGTACTTTTGATACTTATAGTATAGTATTAAATACTTTTACTTAAGTACTTTTGAATGGTACTTTTCCATAGTAAAAAAAATACAAAAAAGACAGGTCTTAAAACTAAAGCAAAGCCCTGTTTTCAATGGCAAAAGTACCAGTGAACTGAAGAATTACATACTCACCAAACCAGGATGTGACAGGACGTGACAGGATGTAACAGGATGTAACAATCCACAACATGGTTAAAATTATACAAAATTAAAATAAATTAAAATTACATGTGCAATGTAAATGTGGTTTTATAGACTTATCAGTTATGACACATTATTGATTTGTGTTGTACACGATCATGTTCTTTGATCTGAATGAAACTGAAAGGCCATGGCATTAGATGGCCTTAAATGTATGACAGACAGCAGCAGTTATAAAGTTAGCAATAACGGTAAACTGTTACTGGGGTTTGGCAGGGAAAGTGTGAATCAGAGCACAGTGAACATTGAGTCTTCCTAAGTGCATCCTGAACTGAAGTGCATGCAAAGAACTAAATAACACTCCAGTAAACTTGAAATAAACTGCAAAATGGCAAAACATATTCATTCAAGATCCACTCACTTCCCTCTAATCATGATACGCCAAGGACTGTTTGAGGACGGGTGCTCCCTGAGGAGATTGTTGTCAGGCTTGTTTTGTCATGTTCTGCAGTGTAATATGTACTGTGTAACTGGAAAACACCATCCCCAAACAGAAAGATATGCTAACTTTAAATCAGACACAAGGCCATCTGTTGCTCCCTTGAAGGTTTTTCTGTATAATGATAATGCTTTGAAAGAGAGGGGAAATACAGGCTCCAGTATCTGCGTAGCTGCCGTCTCATCCCAGCAATTTCTGGGAGGAGAATTGCAACCGAAATATGCCCTTTAAATGTCAACCTGTGTTAAAAGGTCAAACTGTACGTCAATCAGGCTCTTTGGAACAAAAAAAAATATTTGTGTAATGGCTACAAAGCACCTACAGAAACTGAAAATATATGTCCACAGAAAAGATTCATGGTGATTCATATTATTGATGTCAAACAGCAGAGAGCAGTAGCCTGGAAATAATTCTGAATCAGCTGTGAGATACTCACACGAACCCAATGTACTGACTTGTGAGTGGCCTCTGCAGGGAACAAAAGTCAAAGAAAGGGAGTCATTTATAGAAATGATGTAATGAACTGGATTTGCAGTCATATCTAGACAGCCCCTACAGACATCCTTGTCTGTGGTATGACCTGCTCTCACATAACAGCCAGAACAAGCTTGTCTCAGACCCACTGTGGTTTTACTGTGGAGTACCACTGGGGAGGTTTGTCTGCCTTTCCGTTCTCTGTGGCCAATCTTTATGAGACACAGAATTTGAATCCCACATTTTGTCTAAGTTTCTCTCTTTTTCCATTTTTTTTTTTACACGTCTTCTTTTCTCTGAGCTATGTGCCCATCCACCACTCAATTTGATTGGCCTCCATGTTCCATTAAATGTAATCTTCAGGGCCAAGGGACATGTAATTAACTAAAACTCTTAATTTTAGTAGGATGCTGCACAGTTTCAAGTAGGCTATAAGTGGATAATAAATACAAGAGCCTTGTCTCCCTGATAGAATAATCTCCAGGATGGGTAATTATATGTTTCGTAACATCTCTTGTAAAAATATATAAATCCAACTTTATATTTGCAATGGATGACCACATGAACTCAGCAGCAAGATGAAAGAAAATGCTTCAAATATGGTCTTTTCATTCTAAAATGTTTATGGCTGGCAGACTTTTAATAGATTTATATTTACTTTCTTCCCAGGTGGTAGATGCAGAGTGCAGGGACTTGTACCAATCATGTCTGAGTGTGAAGTATGGAGTTAGAACATTTAGCTTTACTCAGCATTGAGTTAGCCCCTTAGCAGGGGCAAACAGTTAGCCTGACTTTGTCCAAAGTTCAAAAATACTCCTGCCAACATCTCTAAAACTCAAGTTATATCTTTGTTTAATCTGTACATAAATGTTAAAACAATTATTGTTGTTCTATGGGGAGTTAGTCTACATGATGTAACTATGTCTTGGCAAAACAGCAACCAGGCACAATTACTTCCTTCAAGCCTGGTCACGCCAGCATCATTTCAGTTCAGATTCACTCGTGGGGTGAAATTAATCCACCAGTTTAACTTTGATGAACTTTGACACAAGCCAATTTAGCTGAAGTTAGCAAACATACCAGCGTCAGAGCTTTTGTTCCCTTCAATAGCATTTTATTGTATAAAATGATGGACCATTAATCTTGAGAACAAAATGCCAAGGGGAAGTAAACAGCCAGTACAGGGAGCTCTTGTGACTGACAAACTAGCATGTTCCCTGCTGGCTTGCAATTTAGGGGTTAGCCTGCCAGCAAGTAGTTTACCAATTAGCAAACCTTCATCGCCAGGCCTTTAGAACCACATGTTCTGTGAAGATGTGGGTGAGTTTTGCTGTGCCGCTGTTACCAGGCCAATCTTGTTGTCCCTTTTCCTTGACCAGAGAGCAATGCTAGCTGTTTTTCCATGCCTCCAGTTTTTATGCTAAGGTTAGCAAACAGCTTCCTGACTTTTGGTTCATGTCATGTCAGAATTATTGTATTATCATATTATCACGTCAACATCCAAGTCCAAGTTTGCCTGAAAGGTCAGATATATCCAACACTGGCATTTAATAATTCAAAAGTGACTGAAAGCCAAACAAATGTGGATGTCAAATTAGACCATTGCTCAGTGTAGACTAATTGAAACCAAATTTCATGGATATGTTTTTTTCTATTGATCTTCTCATTTGACTCTCACTAAGAAAGTGATTAAGTTCTAAAATATTAAACCTTTAGTAGTATACGGGGAGATTTTTTAGTTTAAAACCCTGATTTGGCAAACTTCTACCTTGCTTCAGGAAATCATTTAAAAGTTTAACTCATCTTAATATTAGAATGAACATAGTTTAAGATACATTTACATGCTGCTCAGTGGGAGTGGGACACTTATGTTTTCAGGAACAGAAAAGTTGAGCTTCAAAAAGGTCAGTAAAACATGCAACTGAAGTCCTTTCCAAGCCCTCCAGCTGCCTGTTATATATCCGATGTTCCTCTTACCTAACATGGTTCTGCAAATTCTTCATATTACAGCTTTGGAGGGAGAAGTTTCCACTCCGAACCACAACAGTCAGCGATTTCCAGGCATCAGTGAATGCACGGAGCTCACGCTTGTTCGCGCTTCATCTGCCTGAGTTGGCACGGACTCAAACTGGCTCTTGTAACCTCAGTTAGATAAGAAGGAGGATGTGCCAGTCTTCACTGCTCAGCCTCTCGTTCTCACAGGTTATAATGAAAGGAAAGGCATTTTTGTCCTTGATAATTTTCATAGTTCTTTGATTTGGATAAAAGAGGATGCTTTTTATCCTGGCAGCTATTTCAAAGAAACCAGCAATGTTCATCCTAAGAGGAATGTTGCTGCAGGCATTGCTCAAGTTTTCTTTTTTCTGTCTTGTTTTTTTGGTGTGTTTCTCATTCTGGACACTCTCATTCAGGCCGAACAAAGGATTCCTGAGGTTCAAACATTCCAAGAGGCTCTCCTCTCCTTTTTGAAATATTGAAGTCAAACAAACTCTAATCCATCCCCACCTAATAGGTGACTGAGGTGAATTTCATCTGTGACTTTTAATGCTAGCAAGGTTAGAAAATACAAACACTGATCACAGACAACGGGCAACAGTCTAAACACGGCTTCGTCTGAGATAGAAATTCAGTTGGTCATAGAAATATGTAGCTTCTCTCCAATATTTATGTCAGAACTTGTGGCGCCCCGATGTTGAATCCCTTATGGGGCTGCTCTCACATGCATAGGGCTGACAATGAAAGTTTTCAGGTATCAGGTATAAATGTGCTTTTTTTGCCCTGGAGTATCACATGCCACCAGCAGTCTTTCTTTCATTCTTTTTAGTTCATTTAACCAGGCTAAATATATAATAAAAATATATTTTACAGGAGAATGAAGCAAAAAAAAAACAAAAAAAAAAACATTGTTACGACAATCAATACAATTAAAATAACACAAACAGAAGACATTCACACAACACAAGAAACAGAAATAATATCCAGGTAAGTTGCATATAAAGGTATGAGTTTTAAAATAGTCCAAATGAATTATAAGCAATATTGAATTAATATTTACCAAAACAGGAACTAAATAATACACAATATCCTGCAGCAAATAATTTAAGGCATTGCTTAGATAATATATTATTCAAGTTTCCAATACAAAACATGCAATTAAGACATGACCCACTTTTGCATATATACTATTTGTTACAGAAAAAAGTTCATTTCAGAAACCTGTGTGCTTCATGGTAAGAAGAGTTAGTTCTGGTTCATCTTCATGGTGATAAACAGAAAATGACATGGTTAAATTGGAGCGAAAGCCCTGGCAGAATGGAAGTTAGACAGGGTGGTTCTTGGCTCACTGAGTGAGAGGGGGGGGGGGGGGGGGTGGGGGGGACTTCTTTTGGGCTTATGGGAGGACGCATGGAGAAGCATTCCTATCATAGTTTCAGGACACCTCTTCAGCGAGTATAAAAGGAGATGGGGACTCCAAAAGAGGGAGAGCAAGCACTCGTCAACTCAAAGAGACAGAAGACTATTCACTCAGGAAAGAGCGCTTCTACTTCTGAGGATGTGGAAAGTTGTTGTCATTGTGATCCTCTGCGTTACACTGGTGAGGAAATAATTGCTCTTCATTCATAAGTTGCTTGCTTAGCTGTTATAAGATGATTACTATTGGAAGCAAACTTTTGATCAGATGTTGTGTCTTTCCTCAGGTGTCAGCCTCATGCCCGATGGACTGCCAGTGTCCCTCTGAATCCCCCATATGTGCAGCAGGAGTCAGTCTCATGCTGGACAGCTGTGGATGCTGTAAAGTTTGTGCTCGGCAGCTCTTTGAAGACTGCAGCAGGACACAACCATGTGACCACACAAAGGGACTGGAGTGCAACTTTGGAGGTGGATTTGGTTCTGCTAAGGGCATCTGTCGAGGTGAGGTGACTTCTCTTCTTATCTCAGTTTCTCATTCATTTACTCACTTTGATTTTGAACCTCACTACTTTCCCTCTTTCTATAAATCAGCTAAATCAGATGGAAGAACTTGTGAGTACAACAACAAGATTTACCAGAACGGGGAAATTTTCCATCCAAACTGCAAACACCAGTGCACTTGCATGGACGGTGCTGTTGGATGTGTCTCTCTGTGCCCACATGAGTTGTCACTGCCCAAACTGGGTTGTGCCAAACCCAGGAAGGTCAAGGTCCCGGGACGGTGCTGTGAACAACTCATCTGCCCCGAGGAAGCAAAGCCAGAGAGTTCTGCGGAGAAGAAACACAGAAAAAAGGACAGCAAAGACAGAGCATCTGAAGACGACCTCACAAGCAAGAATGAGTTGGCTCCTGAGTGGAGAGGAGGATCCGAGTCTTTAGCTGGTGAGCACTTTTACTCAGTGTCCTCTCTGCTGTCTAGGAAGGAAACATAAGGAAATATATGTGAAATTTCACATGTAGCTACATGTGCATGACATGTCTTGATTTCTCTTACATTGTCATCAAATGGTCAGTTGTGTCAGCTAACATTTTCAACCTTCCTTTCTCTGATCAGCTTTCAGGAGTCACCCAATTGGCCACATGGTTGCCAGAGGAGTCGAGTGTGTGTCTCAGACCACAGCTTGGTCACCCTGCTCCAAATCCTGTGGCACTGGAGTGTCCTCGAGGGTGACCAACAGCAATACCCTGTGCAAACTGGTTAAAGAGACTCGGGTCTGTGAAGTCCGCCCATGCAACCAAATGGCCTTCGTCGGATTGAAGGTATAATCCAAACCTTTTATAACCAGATTTTCAGCTAATTTCATAAAGATACAGTCTGATTATTTCATTACGTTGGTCTGTACAGTTAGCATCCTTTGTGGAACTCTCTAGTTACATTTAACATATGCTTTTTATGTTTTTTTTTCTTTAACAGAAAGGCCACAAATGTAACCACATAGAAAAAGCCAGCCGTCCAGTTAAACTGTCCTACGCAGGCTGCCGTAGCCTTCAAAAGTTCCGACCCACATACTGTGGGTCTTGCACAGATGGGCGATGCTGCAGGCCTCATCGGACCCAGACGATACCTGTGCGCTTCAGATGCAAAAATGGGGACACCTTCAGCAGGATGGTGATGATGATCGAGTCTTGCAAGTGTAACTTCAACTGCTCCGGCAGCAACGAAAACACCCCTGCCCTCTACAGACTTTTTAATGGTATACACAAAGTGAAAATGTAAACTTCTCACTTTAAGTGGAAAGAAGATCCAGACAGACAGATAAAAAAAAAATTGCACTGTGAGGTTTCAGACACCTACTAGGATGAATTTAGTGAACTGTATTGTTCATGATTTTGCTTCATAACACTGGAGCCTTTTGGTTTGCTTCTTTGAGAAGCTTTTTTTTTTTTCTTTTTTTTTTTTACATTGACAAAAATCTTATTTTTCTAGTTAAACCAACATTTTATTGTTCTCCACTTTAATTTTTATTGACATACCTATTTAAGCCTCTCTTGACAAGACATACCACATGTAAGCATGGAAATGATGTGAAAACTATGGCAGCTACTAACTAAGTCCTTACACAATATGTCGCCATGTTTCTGTTGATTTACTGTACTTATTCGTTTTATTTATAAGACAATAATTTTCCTACTTCGCTTAATGTATTCTTATTGTAGCTTCTTATTAATGTATTCTAATCATTGAATATTGTACCATAATACTGGTTTGACATCCTGTTCTTTACACTGTCTTGTATGTAAGTTTGCTGTTAAATTGTCAGTTTTGTGATTCGCCTTTTCACAAATAAACATTAGAAAACCCATTAGAGTCGACCAATTATTTTCTTTTAGGGTGAAGAGTGAAAATATAGTTTGCCAGTTGGAATAATCAGAAAAACTAAGAAAAACTAGCAAATTCTCAAGGGGTCTGTTATAACAATTTTCAATAGGAAATGAGCTATACTGTTTCAGCTGCATATGGCTGACCCACTTCTGAGACGACCTACATGTCACTGAATAGTTCAGGAAATGACTAGTGTAAACCTCAGAGTGGTTTTCCTGCTGTCGGACAGATGCTATATGCAAACCACAGAAGTTTGTTTTGTGAAGAAAGTTCTAGGGTAGCAGGGAATTATGTAAACTTTCCACACAGATTTATTATATGCAAAATGGGGGATGATCCCACATGAACAGTCAGATTTGGATGGATTTCCCTTCACATGTCATCTTTCAAAAGTCAACAAAACTGCAAATTGATCCAAGTTGGTGTTAGTCAACTGTATGTGACCTTCATAAAATAATTTTAATACAAACAGTGAAGCCTCTGTTTTTGACTATTTGCTCAGCAGAATAGAATTTGTAAAAAAACAAAACAAAACAAAAAGACAAATAGGTCACCCAACTCATTTGAGCCTGATGAGCTCATAAGCCCAGGGTGTGTCCATCATGCCGCTGCGTTGTGATACCAACCAAATTGCCAGAAGTCAGATGTAAGGTTATTTTCCAGCAAACAGCAGAGAGAAGCAAATTCCCAAAGTATGATCAACAGAATTACGTAAACGGGCAAGACCAAGAGACTGAGAACAAGAGCAAAGGAAAAACAGGGGTACTGACGCACGCACAGATGAAATGATTCCATCCCCTGACGGAGAACACAATAGAGCTTTGTCTTTGAGAACTTGAGAGGAGCACTGCTCACCCGGGGGAATACGTCCGTTGCAGAGACACACCACAGCCTCGCAGTGGTTCTGGAAGATTGTAGTTTATTACCATAGATACAGTATAGGACCACAAATCAAGCAGCAACAGGAGAACAAGAACATCCAAGTGCAGTACAAGACAAACTTAGTTCAGTATTTAGGTAAATCATGCTGCAGCAGATACCACTACCTTTCTGTGCCCCTAAGCCGTGCTAACATTAAAAACTTCCATTACAAAAGCATGAGAGCAAAACCAGCATCAGTGGTTTGGAAATATCCCAGTGTTGCATGTGTCTCAGCAATTATGGTTACAACCCTAAAGGCATAAGCTTCACAACTGACAGCTAAACAATTGATTTTAAGCATAATTCATCTCAGTCCAGCTGAGAATCAGAACATGAACATGTTCAATACACATCACACCTTCCCATGACTGCTAAAAATACAAAAACATACACAAGCTGTTTTTCAGCATCAGACAGTGAAATTTCCCATCAGATGCATCAGCAAAAGAATTATGATGAGTTTAATGGGAGTAAAGCTGGAGCATATTCATGTTAAAATGGAGCACCATGTTAAACGTGGTTTATTCTACCACAGGTATACTTGGCCAGGACATATGCACCAACGTACTGTTTTGTTTTAAAGCAATAATTGTATTGGTTAACAATTGTTGTCATAATCAGGTGTATGGCTTCAAAATATGGCAAAAAAAAAAAAAAACCTCTTCGATCTGGAGCCAGTTGCACAAAGGTAGACCTTGTCTTGCACTTGCAATAAACACTGAACTTCGTATGTTTCACAGAATCCATTTAGTAGTGACTGAGCTAAAAGACTGACAACCAACTGCACAACAGACTGTGAGTAATAAACTCCACTTGACAGAGGAGAAAAGATGGCTAACAAAACACTTCCACCTAGTGGCACATGAATTTTCCCCAGTGGGAAACCCCCTTTAATTTATATTTTTATTTTCACTATATAAAGTAGTCTATGAAATATCAGAAAATTGTAGAAAATGTCCATTAAAGTTGCTGTACATTGCTTCTCTTAAACCACCAACAGTGCAAATTCTCCAGTATCCAGATTAAAGCCATAAAACAACAGAGAAAAGCTGTAAATCTCTACATTTGTAAAGCTGGAAACACTGAATGATATAAATTACAATTAATCAATATTCAAAATTGTGAATTTAATTTCCTGTCAACACGGATGTGCAGATTTTTTAAGGCTCTTACAACAGATGAATGATTTGCCACATTGTTTAAGGTGTTGAATAACAACTCATCAAACATATTTCTCTGTTTCACTGTTTTTAGTGACTTTAAATAAGTCACTGAGTAATATTTTTGCAACACACTGTCTTCAGACAAGTGTAAAGCTGAGGCGAGTCTTTAAATATATTTATGCAACTGGCTCTTTGTCGTAGGGGAGTAAGACACAGTAGCACCGAGAGTTCACAGTCCATAATTTGCATACGCATGTTAAAATGTTATGTAACGTTTCTTATGACATGAGATAAAAACAGGTATTGAAACTTCTCACAACAGCAGCAGGTTTCCCTGACATCTGGGGGGGGGGGGGTCATAGATTGTTAGCTAACTGAAGAAGTAGATATATAAAGATAGCCCAGGGCTAGAAAAAAATAAGCTTTTACTTCCTCTAAAATTGATAGACTCTTGCTTTTATTTACTTTTTTTAAATAGGCCTTATAAATATTACAGTGTACAAAAACCAAATAAATAAATAAATACAAAATTTAAAACAAACAGATGAATCCCTGATCATTTTAGAAAATATGAAGATCCAAAAGTCGAAGTTTGCAGTCCCTCATCAAACATTGTCTTATAGGAGTTTTTGAGGAAATCAACATAGTTCTGAATGCTTTGTTTGTGGCTCTCTGATTGGTCCAGGCTCAGCTGCAGGTCCTTCAGACGCACCTCAAACTGTCTCTCTGCCTACAGATTCAGATAGAGACAGTGGTTTCCCTGAGACATTACTCAACAACAGTAGTCCGAGCATGCCTACTCCATGACACTCGATTGCTTTATGTGTTATAGAAAACCACGATACTCACAGTCAGCTTACTCTGGCGAAGAAGCCTCAGCTCATTATCCCTTCTGCTCTTCTCTGCTTCCAGCTCCAGGATTTTGGTACTAAGGGCCTCTTCTCTGGAATGAGCCTGGTCTGTTACCTTGTTGACCTGGACATGTGGAAAAACTTTTAACTATCAGACAAAGTGAAACACATCACTTCCTGTGTACCAGATCTTTTTTTCTGGAAACACCTACAGTATCAAAGACTGGGAAGCCCCAAAAAAGGTTTCAGGACCTGGATGTAGGCTTGATTGTGCCGTATCAGATCGATCAGTGACAGAGCGGCAGAGCAGATGTGTCTCTCTATGGATATGTCATAAGTTGTTTCTTTAAAGTCTGAAACTGTTTGGTAACATGTTGAAAAATGCTAAAACTGGAACATTTGCATTGTTGTAACCACTCTTCTAAATCTGCTACAAAAAAAACAAACAAAAAAAAAACATTGATTTGATTGTTGCGCTGTACCTGTCCTGGTTGACAATGCTAAAAAAAGTAATATATATGCATTCAAGGCACATGGTCAACTAATGGCATTTTGTTGCAATATAACAGACAGAAGCATACCAACAAATAAGAAAAAGAAAACACTTGGTGATTGATGGTGACTGACATCAGTTTTCACTCAGACGTCACTAGACTGTCCCTGAGCTGTACCTGTTGTTTGACGTCTGATAAAGCAGCCTCCAGCTGCCGGCTGAGGGCCTGGCACTCTGTCGAGCGCTGATCCAGCTGCCGGTTACTGTAGCTCAACGCTTCCTCCTGAGCTGCGAGCCTCCGTACGAGCTCCAGGTTCTCCTGCTGCAGCTTGTCCATTTGCCTACAAACACACAATGGAATGCACACATTCAGGAAGGTAAACAATCTCTATGTTTGAATCAACACAAACATTTGACATCAGGAAAACAGACATGAGTGGATGTCTTACTTTTGAAGAGAATTCAATTTCTCTTGTAGTTGTAAATTGGCCTCATGGATGGATTCCTTCATCTCCATAGATGAGCTCAGCAATTTTGTCTGACTCTCCATCTGTATAAGCAAAATGCAAAACTCAAGACTTGCTATTTTGATATCACTTGCACTGGTTACAAGTGAATGGGGTTTCAAGATGAGGGTTTCACGTCACATGCAACTGGGTACAACAACTTGCAAAATGGACCGTTTTCAAAACACCAATTCAACATCGCGGATGTAGGTGATTGAAAAGGACTCACACGGCACAAGACACTCACAGACTGGTACATGAATACAGATGGTTACAAATCTAAATGTTTCCACTGCAATCTGAGATTTTTTTTTTTTTTTTTTTTTTTTTTAAATCACAAACATCAAAACTCACAGCAGGGACCAGAAAACAAGATGCACCAATGGACACATAGGGTTGTACTACTGCCTAGTGGTCAGATGTAGGAAAATGACTACATTTTATATCCTCTGACCACCACAGCTCACGTTGCACACCTTAACCTGCAGTTGCTTAATGGACTCTGACTTTTGTGAGCACTTCCTCTCTGAGCGCCGCAGGTTCTCCTGGCACTCGAAGAGACTCTGCTCGGCTGCACTCAGTAACTCAGGGTAAGCCATCAGTTCCTCCACACGTGTCTGCAGCTGCTGCCTCACCTGGGCTCCAGAGGGGGATGGCAGAAGGAGTATTGAGAGTGGACAAAATATTAGCCTTAAGACTAATGAAACCTCTCCCAGTAAACCCTGACCACTCAGAGATGCACATAATCCTTTAAGCGTGCAAAGATTTTCTTCTTTAGAGAGAACTTTGGCAGTTGTTAGCGTTGTTAAGTGTTTTGTTGTCCAGAATTACTGATGGAAGTTTTGGTAATTTATTCAAACACATGCAGGTCCAGGTGCACCAAATGTTATACAGCTGAAAAAGCACTAGAAAAATCTAACAGCACACTGACTGGCCATTCAGCAGCAGGAGGAATAGTGCTGCAGAGGTGCACATACTGGAAAAAGTGCAACAGTACAGTTAGAATTTGTTAGAAAATTATAAGAAATTAGTCAGGGAAAATATTACATGTTGTTAAATGTAACAGCTGGTCAGTATTAAGATTTTTGCACATTACAAGAGTTCAAAACTTTCATAAAGTATAGGAAGAAACTTTGGGGAAGCAGGAGGGTTACCTTATCAGCTGTTGTACTTTTCCCATCACACATCTCTTCCGTCTCTTTTAAAATATTTGCATATTTTATTCTCAGATCTTCAATCTCAGCCTGAAGTTCTGTGACCTAGAAAAAAAATACAGACCACTATAATCAAACCTGCTGTGTCCTTCCCTGCAGCTGAAAACTGCAAACTAGCACTGTCTCTGAATTATTCATTCAGAAATTGCAATAAACCACATTCAGTGTAAATAAAAGGCTGGTTTAGAATATGTTGATATAATCACTATGATCATACTCCTCTTTGTAAAGCACTTTTCAAGGTTTTCTAACTGCCTCAGGAAGAATTACTTACAACATAAAGTAAAAATAAAAAACTTTTAGAAAAGCACAAGAACTCCAGAATTTATGGCATAAGAAGATAGGATTAAAGGATTAGAAGTTGTCAGGAAAAAACACAACAGTTTGTAGTCTTAAAACTTAGTATGTTGCTTTGAGGTCTCTGGCCTGATGTCCAATGCTTTTTTCTGGTAAGTGTTATCAATATATTCAGAAAATAACATTGGTAGTTCACATACGTCTAAATTAATATGCCATGGGTGATTTTTTAAGCAGTACAAAATCATCTTTATGTCAATATTTATTATGTGTATGGGTCAAATATGGGGGAAAAAATTATTTTTTATGACCTGAGTCTATTCCAGAGCCTAGTTTCTTTCAGGTTAGTCAACAAAAACAAAAATAAAGAGAAGAAAAAAAAAATGTATTAAATTAACTAGCAAATGTCCACCTGATATTGACTCTGTTCGGCTTGATGTTTCCTCTCCTGGGACACAACCTTCTCCTCTATCAGTGCCGACTCACAATCATCCAGCTGCTGCTCCAACTGAGCAACAGATACCTGTAAACACACAAACAATCATTTTAGTGATAAAAGTAACAGGGAGAGAATACTTTTTTCCATTCTTTAATAATGATGGTGTAACGTGGATCCAGCAAGAAGTAAAAACAACATTAAAGACTGACAGTTGTCGACCTTAAACCTCATAACAAATGGCTTTATAAATAATTATAACAACATGTTTAAGCACTGTGTTTTTATACCTTTTTCCGCATGTGCAAGCTGTTTAGTAACTTGTACCTTGAGTGCTGCATTATTGACGCTGAGGTCTCCGTTTTCAGTGCTGAGTTTTTCAACACGCTGCATCACAGTTTCATTAGCCGCAGTGAGCTCACACTTCTCCCTCTGCAGCCGCGCTGTCAAGTCTGCGATTTGACTTTAACGGAGACGCACATTTGACATTCATCAGTGAAAACTGTTAGTTGACACATACGTGTATTGATTTCCACTGCATACCAGAAAGAGGTAGTGTGTGTTACAGAGAAAAGACCAACCTTTTCAGTAACTCTACATGAGCATCAAGCTTGTCTTTCTCATCTGTCATCTGCTCCTTCTGCCGTCTCCTGGATTCTCTTTCTAAACGAGCGTTGGCCAGCTGAGAATCCTTTAGTCCAACCAAGAAAAAGAAAGACAAAGCCAGATATTGAACAATGTGACCGTGGATAGAAAAGAGATTTTTGAAACCAAAAATAGCTATTTGGACTTCATACCTTTTCCTTCAACTGTTCATAGCATTTCTCAATGGCGGCTTCAAATCTCTCAGCTCTCTGTTTCTGTGCTCGAGTGGCTTTCTTGAGAGATTCTTTGTCCTGTGCTGCCTTGTCAGTCAAAGAGGTGATGGAGCCTCTCAGATCATCAATCTCCATCTTCTGTTCAGTCAGGGTTCTTTCCAGAATCTAGAGGACACCATGAACCCACAAGGGCATGTTTATAATATTATACATCTTCTTTAAAGGTCCCATATTTAACACTTTTTTAATGATTCATTTGAATTTTTGATATCCATAAGACAATATATTTGTGGTTTTAAGTACCAAAAACTATTTCAATGTAGTTTTACTTCCCCTCTCTCAGGTTTCAAGTAAACACTCACAGAAACCAAATCCTGCAAGGTTGGATTGTGGGACCCAGGTGGCCTGGTTGGTGACTGCTTTGTTGTGACATCACAAAGTTACAGAAGTCCTGATGGCTCATTTCTGAATATGGGCTTTGTGCATTTCTCTGTGGACTGAGCACTTTGATATTTTCACAGTATTAATATAGCGCCTAGACATGCTTTATAATCAAAAAAGACATCGGAAATCTCACTTTATACAATATGGGACCTTTAAAGTTGTTTGTCCAGAGGAACTTTGGCTGATGACACACACACGTGTTCATATACCCGTAGCTGTGCAGTCAGACGGTTGTTTTCAGCTTCCTTGTTGTGCAGCTGCCCCTGCAGGTGAACACGAGTCGCTTCCACAGACTTGGTCATGTGAACTGCAGTCTTTATGTTGCCCTGTGAAGACCAACGTGGACAAATGCTTTTAAATGCAATTATTTTTTTAGTCTGTAGGAACATCCATATCATCCATACTCCTCTATATTTACCTGCTCTTCCTTTCGCAGATCCATCAGCTCCTCAACTCTTCTTTCTGTCTCACTCAAATCTCTTTTTAAATGCTTAAGGAGAAAAATGACAGCAATCACTACATGATTGGAAAATGAAATTTGCACAATTTTATAGTACTAATGCAATAAAAAATGTTTGTTCTATTCAGTCCCATAGAGTAGATGCCTTAAGCTCATGTCTTTCAGTTATAATATCAATTTAGTACCAATGTGGCTGTGTTGGTAACGCAGTCCTTGACATTAATTTCACCAACTCTTACTGCTTCAACCATCCATACCACTACGCAGAATAAGCTATTAACCTCACATAAGAAGATTAACCCTTTTCACAGACTAAATCTTCCACCAGGTTGCCACAACTTAAGCACAAAGCTTAATTCGCCTACATGTAAATTAAGTGCCTTTCCTTTCAAGTATTTCTTAAATGTAATGAAACACTCACTTCATTTTCACTTTCAGCCAGTGTGATCTTCTTCAGTAAGATGTCAATCTGTTGGTCGGCATCAGTTCGACTGGCCTGCATAGGAAGACATGACTTATTGAGAATAAGTTAAAGGAAAATGAAAAGAAACAAAAAAACATTTTGGACACGTTTCATTTGTTGTCACCATGACTCACTATCCTGGGATATATTTAATGTAGAGTGTATTTTAACCAACCTCGGCTTCCTGGAGCCGCTTCAGTTTCTGCCGAACAGATTTATTTATTCGTTTAAAATCCTCCAACTTCTCCAGCAAAAGTCCTCTCTGCCTTGTAATTCGGCGTTTATCTACGGCAGAGTGTCTCGAATCCTTAATTGACAGAGAAATAGAAACAGGAGTTACACTATTGGTACATGAATATTAAAATGATATTTAATGTAGGAAAACTATTATGGTTTCTCACATGGAAGGACCATGTTTGAACCATTTTGATGTATGCAAAGTTGCAACAAACATACAGCAAATTCATCTTCCATTGCATCTTTAAAAGACACAAGTTGTATAGCAGCAGAGTTGGCAGCTGCTTCTGCATCCATTAGTATTTTCAGGAAAGGGCTCTTTCCACTGGCAAAGTCTCCATGACTAAATGAAAAACAGGAACACAAGAAAATGCTTTAAATCGTTTAGGCTGTGGTTGGGTGGATGTTTCGCCCCACAGATAGGGCTGTGTGTTCAAATGTCCATTCATCATAGGATCTCACCAACTGATGTCAGCCTCGGGGGTTCTTGTCTGGAGACTGCTGCGTGCCCGGCTCCTTCTCCCCAGCTCATGGGAACTATCTAGATCACCACAACTCATAGTGAGATCGTCCCTGGTAGAACTGAAACCAAGGGAGGGACTTTGGAGATCATTCTCTGGAGACATACCTGTTACTACTGACAAAACAACATACACAATAAATTAGTTTTAACACGCAGAGGAGGACAGGGAGTTAGTTCATACAAAATGGCTTAAAATGAGCTTAGTTACTCCGCATAGTCCAGTTCATTATTATCAAGGACAGTAAGACTTGGTGTCAAGGAAGCTAAGCTTACTCTATAGCGACAGACGGGACCAGGTTAAGTGGCTGCTAAGCTTTACGCTACATTACAGACAGTCACCATTCTACCAAGCAAACCCACTGACATCTACATTGTGATCATTGGAGGTTAAACCCAGTTATACCTTATAAAACAATTCCACTGGAAACATAAATACTATTTACTTACGCTTTCTTCTTGTGTCGGTTGCGAACAACGCTTCTCCAAACTGAAGAGCCCCCTCTTAAAGGTCGAACCGGATTGGTTAGCTTTAAGACAACGTAATGACACCGGTTTAGTTACTCACTACTGATTTGTTACCTAGGGCTAAAGTAGGCGGGACTAAGTTTGATTTAACTTACGAGCAGCCAATGAACAAAAGAAAACAAAGAGCCTGGTTGAAACCATAGAAACGAAAAGGAAGTTTACTGCCACGGTATCTCAGACCATCCTCAAGTAACATCAAATTACGAAGATTATTAACATTTTGTGCATTTCATTGCGAAAAACCGAAAAACTCGGAATACCATTGTTTAGATATATACTCAGCTAAAACTGACTGAGTGTTATTTGTTTCGGTGGCACAGCTCGGCAGTTAGGCTTCTTCAGTTAAAGTTAGCTGGACAGCTAATGCTTGGCGTCTGTTGAGTGGAAATGTTCAAAGCAAAAATACTCTTTATTGGTCCCAGTGAGGTAAGTAAATACCTTCCTAGCTCTACAGCGTGGCTTGTTTTTACTGTTAAACGTAGGTAACAAGATAATAGTTTTAACAGTGAAAGCGTAAGATAGCTTTTATGTGTGTAGCACATATTACATTAGCCAATAGCCCCTACCGTACTCAGCACCCAATATACGATGCTCACAAACTGATGTGTTGCAAAAAAATCACAAAAACATCAGAGGTATATGTTTGCATCAAAAACCTACGATCATCAAAAGTGCCTAGCTTTATGTGTGTGTGTTAATGTTAACTAAGAAGAAGGCAGTGGTAGAAGGTAACTAAGCATATTTCCTCAGTTACTTTACAGTGTTAAGGTACTTTTTCAGTACTTTACTTGAATATTTCCATGTTACACTATTTTATACTTCTCCACTACATGTCAGATGGAAATATACTTTGTACTCCACTATGTATATAATACACAGTATATGACATTTATCTGAGAGCTGTGGTTACTAGTTACTTTGCAGATTAATATTTTACATCAAACGTGATAAATTTATGACACACAGATTAAATTACCTTACTGTATAAAACGGTTTAAATGAGCACCACCTTGACCAGCTACAACATTAAAATTCTGCTTTCAAATGAAGGCTTAAGTAATAATGATTTGATATTACACTGAAAGATGTACATTTTGATAAGATTACTTGCATGCTGTTTCTTAAGTGTGTGTATGTGTGTGTGTGTGTGTGTGTATGAGACCTTTTTTCACAGCACACATTTTTACTTGTCATTGCAGGAAAAGCACAGGTGTAACTAATGACATTAATGATGGCTCTTTCCCCTACGGCTGTCCCATTAGGCCATACTATACACACAACCGCACCTAAATGGAATGCAGCCTTTATTAAGGTTATCAATTACACCTGTGTGTGTCCTCCTGCTATAACGTTCAAATGTCTACACCGCAATGTTACACTCCTAAAAAAAATTATTAACTTTTCTTGCTTTGACATGTCAAAATGTTAAGTTCTAGTATTATTTGTAAAATCTTTATCAGCAAATAACATTTATAATTTAAATGTAATTACATTTGTAAAACAAGTATAGTGGCAAAAGTATAAAGTTGTAAAAAAAAAAAAAAAATGTATATACTTTTCAACTCCGTAATGGGGTTAAATTATTTTTGCATTGTAAATGATGTGACTGTTGTGAATTGCCTGTCTGTTTTTCAGAGTGGGAAAACGGTTCTTGCTAATTTTCTCTCTGACACAACAGAAAATGTGGGAGGTGAATACAGTCCTACTCAGGGAGTCAGGTACAAACTGTGTGTCAACTTTACTGTTTTACACCTAGTACATACAGTTTAACTCAACTGTATAAATCATTGAAAAGATGGAAATAACATTGTCCAACTGAATGCCTGTAGCGCTGGTTTCAAATTTTATGTAAAATGAATTACCTTGGTGATTAGATTATTAGCTCTAACCTGTCTTGGTCAGCTTGAAGTACTCTACAATATCAAAAATCTTGAGGGTTGACTTACTGTTGTCACAAAAAAAACCCACATACAATTGTTTACATTTGTTTCAAGGATACTGGAATATGAATCACAACCTGAAGGCAGTGGTGACAACAAGACATGTGAGGTTGAACTTTGGGACTGTTCAGGAGACTTCAAGTAAGTTAAGTAACATTAACAGATTTTCACTTATTAAAGGCTTAGATTTTACCCTGTCCCATCTTGTGATTTTTAAGAAAAGTCCCATTAATTCTCATAATTGTTCCCCCCCCCCCATTCTTTTCATCTAGATTTGAATCATGTTGGCCTGCACTCATGAAGGACTCCAGCGGTATGGTGATCATTTTTAATCCAGATGTTCCAAGCCACCTCAAAGAAATAGAGACGTGGTATTCGATGTTCATCTCCTCTCAAGGTTTGCAGGAAAATCAGTGCTTACTCATAGCTCACCACAAGCCTGGCAGCGGAGTAGAAGACAGACGTCTGCCTTTAGGTAATCCCACTGCAGGTCTCCCACAGCTGGTGTATGGTTAATAATACTATTACTATTCTCAGCTAACATGTTCATTCTTTCTGTTGCAGCCTCCCACTTAAGCAGACTCCCACTTATTCACTCCAACCTGGAGGAGGAACCGGAGGATGTGAGACGAGCTTTCTGCAGATACTTGGGAACTGTTGTAAATACAATGTCTGAGAGCCGGGAGCGAGAGGAGATGTCGATCATTACATAGCAGCACAATTTATAAAATATGCAGCTTAATGCAGATACATTTTGTTGGCATCTACAATCTCTGTTTAAGAAACTATTACAAACACTTCTAATTTTTAAGTTATTAATTATACATCTTTACTGTGATTGAAATCTCCCAAAACCCCTTTCAAACTTTAATATATCCTACAGTTAGATGTTATTGTTCATTTTTGGCTTCTTACATTTTTATGTCTTTTTTGAATAAACATATATAACATTACTCACTCTGGAAATCAATACTCAAGAGATACTGAATATATTTCAAATTATAGACATGTTTATTTGAAAATTTGGTGCAGGTTGTTGAGAATGTAAGGATTAGATTTGCAGAGTGAGAGAGAACAGTCTAATATTTAGACGTCATATCCAACAATTCCTCCTTTGCCAATACACTCTCCAATGTAGAACCACATCAGCACCTCTGTGGTCACGAGTCCATTCCTTAAGGCATCCTACGAAAGAAATAAAAAACACTTTCAGTCAAGAAAACTGCTTTAATGACAGCATCAAGAATTACAGAAAGAGGTGTGATAGTTTACATTTAAATGAGATGTGAAAGATTAATTGTACAGAGTAAAAAGTGGTCCCTTTACATGCATACAGTTACACGCTAGGGGTCACAGAACACACTCTACAAATATATATACACACAGCAATTTATCTCATCATGCATGGTCAGCTTCATGTATGTCACTGTTGTGTATGAAGTTTGTGTAATTATTAACTTTTGATGCCTGACATCTTTGCACAAATTACCTGTTTCCGGTTGTTGGGTGTGTTTTTTTAATTTTTCATAGAAAAAACTAAGATGTCATTCGTTCACCCCGCCACTGGTATTTTATTCAGTCATTTCAAATAATCCTGACAGTTTTAAATTACTTCAAATAAGTTTCTGGGCCTCGACACCTCCATGTTTCATAACAGTCCAAGAAGGTGAGAACATATGTATTATATTTGCTCCAAATACAAGCAGGTTTACATTTTGTAGAATTAAGCCAAAAAAAGCCTATTGCTGACTTTGCAACACAGCGTTCAATCACTCCTCAATGAAAGTCAAGCAGTTGTCAAACGTGTAAGGACTCACCTTTACTGTGGTTTGTCCCAGGCGTCCTGACTGGAAGCTCTTGATGAGGCCGGAGGCAGCCTCTATGGCTTTGGGGATCTCAGCCGGAGAAGGTGGGACGAGCTCCACCCGGGCATAGTGCCAGAAGGTCGCTAGTCGTGGTTTGGAGTACGTGACAGCGGCTGCAAGTGATACAAGCACTAGCTATCTTAAGAAATACGTTCGCTAGGAAGCAGAAAAATCAAAAGAAACGGAATCTTCAAGCCTGTCTTCAAGAACAAAAGGTAACAACTTTATAAGGAAAATGTGAAAAAAAGGTGCACTGACACCTGTGCTTGTCCTATCAGAGGTCACACTGAATTTGTGTCGCTGCTAACGTGCTGTAACAACGTGACCTACCTGGTGTCATAAGGTTTACTCCACTGAATCACTTTTTAATTGGTCAAAAGAAAAACTGCAAAAAAACTTACCGCCGACTAAAGTCGGTATTTTTGCCACGAGTTTCTGTACTGCCTGAGCCATTGTGAAGACTGGCCAGGAAACCAAAAAAAAAGAAAGAAAAGCGGTGTGAGAACGTTTCCGGGTCGTTAATTTCAAAATAAAAGGTGTTTAAAATGTGAAGATAGTGTATTTTCAGAATAAAATGGCTAGAAAGCAAAGATAGGTTCAAAAATAAAAAAAATTCAGAGCAGCTGGAAAGACAACTGGACCATTATGTCCATTATTTTGTAAAGCAGAATTATTAAAGAAGCCAAGACAGGCAACAAAATGAAGAAATGGATGACTTTTTCTACAATAAAACACAATAAAAGTACAGCAGAGAAATCATCTGATCAAAGACACAGGGTAACAGCAGACGTTTTATTTCAGATTTAAAAGGGACAAAAATCAATCGAACTGCATGGGTAAAGTGGCTTGAATAATTCTGATTTCAAACAATGGAAAGGATTTAGATTTTAAAGTTACCAGTGTAAAGCACCTGGTTGGAAATCAATGCCACTGATAAAGATCTCCACACAATGTTTGTTTGCACTGTTTCCCTTTAACCATTGTTTCTGATGTGCAGAGGAAACCGATAATTGGAGCACATGAGTCTATGGAGTCATTTCCCCATTGCTAGACAGCTGGCCCGCCACATTCAGTGATATGAAGATCCAGAAATGGCCTCATAAAATGGGTTATTATATGATCTGTGTTTGGGTGTGTGTGTGTGTGTGCGTGTGTGTGTGTGTGTGTGTGTGTGTGTGTGTGTGTGTGTGTGTGTGTGTGAAAGGGTGAGAAAGAAAGGAGTACAAGCCAAAAACAAAGTGTGCTAACTTCTGTATCTGTACAGTATGTTCATGTAGTTTGTGTGTAGAACATGGATGACTAAATCATTAGTCACTCTCCTCTGACTCATCCTGCAGCCCACATAAAAAAACAAAAATAAAAAAAGAAATGGTGCCATGTGACCATGTACAAACAAGAATGCAAGTTAGACCTGTATTTTGTCAGGCAAACACCCACCTACTGGTGCCATGATCTGACTGGTTAAAGCTTTAAAGAGGGTGCTAATCTATTTTATATCCTCAAAATATCTTACACATGTGAGAAGACACTGTAATTAATGTCTCATAGTTTCACAAGACTATAGCACAATTGGATGTTGACAATTTGCAGTTAGCTGTGAGTGTTAAGTAGTAACTTGAGAAGTTCTAAGATGTTCTCATCATTTTCCAAATCCCAGCAGAGTACAGGGCAGAAATATGACTTGCCAGCTGTGGTGGACATGAGGTGTAATTACATTTTCAAAGAATCAATCACTAGAGGGAGCTCTCTAATAGTTTACAATACCAAATAGAGTTAGAGAAAGATAAAGAGCAAAAAACTGTCTCTGTTTGAAATTCAAAGAGCACACTACTTTGAGTTTTGTAAAAGCATTAGTTGAACAGCATTTTAGTTTATTTTACTCCCTCCCTCCTGTGGGATTATTGTGAGGCTTTTTCATGTTTTTTTGAGGGCATATGGTTGTCAGTGTTGTATGTTTTTGTACTTTTTCTTTTATTATCATGTCACTTGTTGCTGTATGAACCTTAATGTAAAACACATTGAATTTACCTGTGATGGAATGTGCTATATAAATAACTTTCCCTTGCTTGTCTTGCCTCCTGGGGGAATTCTTCAATTCCCTATAGACTCATACAGCCTTTGATGATTTCATCATTACAAACTCATGTTGCACACTCAAACATAGTTAGGACTCACGGGACTTTATTTTGAATTCCACTCAAATTGCCACGGTTTCCAAAAATACCAAATATGTCAGCCTGAATTATTCGGAAAAGTCTTTAGAGGAAAAAGGCATCAAACAGCATCAGGAATTTTCCATTTCAACTTCACCATAGATTTCATTCAGAGTATGTGTGACAGCCATTCAAAGTATTTTGTATACAAGCAGAGGGCAAGCACATACAGTAATGTTGACAGACAGAGTGGAAGGATGTTTAATTCCCTTTGATGATATCTGAGTAATTTTAGTTGGAATATTAAGGTTAAACAGTAAAACAATGTCACAAATTTACTGTAATGCACAGCACAAATGACAACACCGCCCTCAGTAAGGGAATAATTTGACATTTAGAAAACTCTCTTGCTGACTTCCTTGCCAAGACTGATATCACTGTCATGTGTGTATGCTAAATATGAAGCTAGAGCCTCAGACGGTAAGCGTAGCTTAGTGTAAAGACTGGAATAAGGGGGAAACAGCAAGTCTGGCTCTGTAAATATGTTAACCGGTGAGCTTCAGAGGTGCTGTAAAGTGTATTTGTTTTTACCTTTGGACAGAGCCAAGCTATCTGTTTCCCCCTGCTAAGATAATCGACCCCCAGCTCCTCCTCCTTTAATGCATATAGGCATCAATTTTCTCATCTAATGCAAGTTGTTACCCAGCATGTCAAACTATTTCTTTAAGGTAAGAGCAGGATACATGTGAAGACAAAATAGAAAATAGCTGTGAATTACTAGTTACTGGCCTATAACTTATCCTGCAAAGTGCATTATGAGAATGAACTAAATTTCTTTTAACCAATTTTCAAGAGTGTAAAAGGTGGACCTTATGTCTGTCGGTGACCCTACAGCACAATGCTCATGTAAGAGTTATGTGTCAGTTCCACACAGTGAGACAGAAGGACTGTGTGAGTCATAGAGACAGACTGGAACAGACAGAAATATACATAGACAGACGGGGAGACAAAAACAGACAGGAAAGGAGGCTGCAGTGACTGTGTAAATCTTGCCTTTCATGGTCTAAAAGGGCTAGAAAATGCAGATGAGATTAAAACAAATGACATCACTACTTCAGCCTTGGCAATCAACACAAATGCACACATTTGGTGATAGAGCAGCCGTACAGGCCAGTAATCAGTCTTATCCCTCCGGGATAGGAAGACAGATAAGGACATCATCCAGTTCTCCGTACTGACCTGTGGGGAAGTGTGAAGATGATTGCCAAGACCGAGGTGATGAAGTCATTTGTTTTAATCTTACATGTAGCTATTTCAGAATTTCCGAACCAAACAGAGTCTTTTATTGCATGACTATTCTCCCTAATAAGTATCTTCATCCTAATCAGTCTTTTTCTCTGTTTTCATTCTCTCGCCTGTTCATATGTAGTATCTGTATCCACATATCCAGACTGTGTGTAGATAATTTAAGGGAAACAAATTGCAGTTAACAATTTATATAAAAAACAATCTCAAATACGGTACGCTCCTATTAGCTTTTGCTTAACTACTTGCAGATTGTTGGAATCTGTGTTTATACAGCACAAGAAGAGGATTATTGTGTGTATTTTTACAAATTGGACAAAGCTATAAAACTCAAATGAGGAAAAGTTAGATGAGACAGAGATAGTTGATGAAATAGTGCCCCAGTCAGGTAAGCTGTGTTTGGCACACATATATCACAAAAATGCCTCAGAAGTTCTCATATGCAGATGTGAACACATTTCACTCTATATCACAAATTTTGACACATTACAAATTAAGTTGAATGTGTTTCAGACCGTTGGCACATGTGGCCTGACAATCAGATCCCACTGTGTCCTGGTGTGCCTTCACGCCTCCAAGTTCTTTTGTGATCCAATTAACCAACACAGATTTTAATGCCAAGTGTGAACAGGGTCCCTGCCCATCACTTTGTATCCCAGAGGAGAATAATTTGTGGGTAAATGTCAAAAGTGAAGCCTTGTGTCTGTGTCTGGTTTCTACTTGAAGCCTTAAAGCTGCATGAATAAATATTTTTCTAAGATTAGACTAGATATGAAACACTTTATTTGCCGTTGTAGACATACAATGAAAATATGTTTGGTCTGTGCCATATGTCAGTAACACCTTTAATATACTGTCTATTACATATTTTAAATTTTGGCTTCATATGGAGAGTGCAGATTTCTGGTGGCTCCTATACAGATGACAATAAAATAAAAGTTGACTTCTGTGTCAACAGTGAATCTGTGTATCTGTGTCTGGTTTCCACTTGAAGCCTATACACAAATCTATACTAATATATAGATTATATGTTTAAGGTATATATGTTTAAAGAGTATATTTGTTCTTTTGTTTTTGTAGTTATATATTTCTATTTTTAAAAAGTGCCCCTACTTATTATCACTCATGAAGACATCTAAGATACCGCACCTGAGATCTTCCACTTAAAGCAGCCACTCCTTTTCTCACCTTAGCACCTAGAAGCCATCCTATTTGTGAGAGATGTGTTCAGACTTCAGGTTCACACTGACCTGAAAACACTGGTCTTATTGTGCGATGGTTGCAGAAACACGGCACCAACCACAAACAGCAAATATTCCTCTATAATGTCAGCCAGACATTCAAACTTAACCAAAATCTAAATCAAACTGTGAAGAACAGTGAAGAACACGAAGAGAACAGGGGACACAATGAATTCTTGTTAGAGTCTAGCCACTGTAAAGGGGCCAATTAGAGCAAGGCTCCCACCACTTTGTCCTCTGAGGATGTCTGAGTGGTTAGCAGCAGTAATGTGTCCATTATGTCAGACCATAACCAAGAGCTATGAACCTCACGTCATATGTCTTCATTTACAGATTGATCTTTGTTCTGACCCTCATTTATAGCCAGAGGCCTCAGGTGAGACAAGCAGCTGAAACAAAGCCTCTCACCAGGGTGGCCTCATTCTCTTTTACACAATGAGGAGCTCAGCAGTGCAGACGGCCTTCAGTTTTAAGTACTTAGTCCTTCAAAATTAAGACAGCCAGGTGATGTGGTGGTTGAGTTAGTATTATATTACAGCCCCCGTGGTGAAGAGATCCTGGTGCAGACACAGAGGGGATCTGAGTTCTTGACAAAATCTCTGGCCACACTGGAAAATGGCACAGTGAAATTCAACCCTACATTTTCAGGATGGACAGGTTCTGGATGTCGCTTACTATGGCCAATGCCATGTCTCTCCTGCTTGTGGTGATTTTATTGAAATGAATGCATTTTCTGGCATAATTTTGCCATTTTAAATACAGGTGTGACTGTAGAACTGCAGTTTGCAGAGGTGAATAACTGCCTCATT